GTTTCGTGTTCGCTGGGTTGCACTCAACCATCGAGGAGACACAGTGTCTCTTCTGTCACAAAATGCACACCGTGTACGTTGAGGAGATGGTGGCGTTAGGGTTTCACCGGTATGCCCGATGTTAGGCAACAAGTGCGATGCGTGCAAACTTGAGTTCGCGGATGACAATGCGTTGCAATCTCATGTTACTAAAAACACCGTCTGTCGTCAGAAGCTCAAACATATCTACGCGTCAAAGTTAGTCGCTGCTTATCGTGAGGCGCTTATTGCGATAGCATGGTTGAAACCGCCAGCCTGTTGTCATGGGAGCTCCAAGGCTCCACAGCGATCGGACAACAGTAAGCGACCTCATGCAAAGGCCAGTCCGCGAGCAACAGCTTCGGAGGGGGATTGCGATGACGCGCACTGTGATGTCACGAGCATCGATGACTGCTTCGACACATTACAGGAGCTGTATCTGTTTTTCCACAATGCGGATCTTTCAATAAGGGAAGTGACAAGTTGCTTCACATTTGCAAAAGCCCCCTGTTTGATCTCCAAGCTGCTCGCGCATTGCGCAATTCAGCTGATGTGCGGCGCTATGGAAAGGAACGAGAACCATTAGATATTGTTCCGTGGACAGCGGAAGAGATCAAGGTTTTCGGGTCGCACGGCAAGGTGGCCAGGTTGACTCTTCATGTGCGGAATACGGAGTTGGTGAGTATAGAACGTGGCGTGCCAAGACGCCATCCAAGGGGGCCCGTACGCTACTAAACTTTGTGCAGTTTTAAACCGTCACTGCTTCTGTACCGACGTGCGGTCTGACTCATGGATGTTGTACCTTTGTTCGATTACAATAATTTGCAGCTGGTGAAGAAGTTGGTGAGGATCTTTGTGGACGTGCGCGGATTCGTGACACAGTTGCGCACAGATGAGGAGGACGACGAGAACACTCGGCATTACAGCACATCCGATACGGAAAAGTGGCTTCATGCGTGTCAGGTGCATGAAGAAGTGGGTCCTCCGAAAGTCTAGTGTTAAATTCCGATTTGACCGTCACCGGAATTTAACACTTGTGACGCCTCTCAGCTGGCAGGCGACATTACCGGAGAAGGGATCCTGGGTGCTGGGGATCATTGTTTACAGTGACAGCACCTATGCGTCTAGCAAAGGCAGGAGGCAAGCGTGGCCAGTTCTCATAACTCTAGTCAATATACTAGAGGGGTTCAGGTGGGCAGAACCGGGATATGTACTGGCGGCTGTCCTACCGTTTCAGCGTGAATGGGCATCATCAACGGAGAAGACACACGTATTCCAAGAGGCAAAAAAGATAATTCTTGCCCCACTTTTGCGGGACCACAAAGAGGAAGATGGGTTTGTGTATGTGTCATTGTATGCACAACGGTCGGAGAGGCTCCGCATCTCATGCGTGTTCTCGAACCATTCTGCCTATTTGTTTCGTTGCACTGCAGCGCCGAGCTCCGACCCTTTTTTCGTGATCGACGTTAACGAGAACGCCGTGACGGCAAACCCGTGTCTGTTTGCAGAAGTCGGTGGTTATCCAGAGCTGTCGTGTGCAACCGGGACGATGCATGCGACATCTTACCGCCCATGTAGCAGCTGCTACGTGAAGGAGGACAATTTGGCTCGTGTCAACATGCAGGCTCCCGTGCGCACTGTAGATCGGCAACGGCACATCGTTTACGCCATTCAGATCGCTGTGACAGATGCCGTGGCTGGGCGTATCCAGAGGAGGTGGTCGACACACCCGCTTGTGGTATGCAAACTGCTGCACGACGGGTGTATGATGAGTCCCGTTTCAAGTATGAGTCCCGTTCCCTAAAATCTGGATGGTACGCATAGTTTGTGTTCCGACAGTCACACGCCAGCATATGGAATACCTTCATGCAGTAGTTGATACGTGTGCATGCGTGTGCCTAACTACCACAGGAGGAAGAAGTCATACAAAAGGACACGCGGTCAACTGTGGTGAGGATTCCGGGTGGGTCGTCGTACTTTCAGAGCGGCGCCAACTATGTGGCCTTCGAGCATAGGGCAATGATGCAAGTGATACGGCTGATCATCGAGGACAAGATGGACCATCTGAAGCCAAAGGAGCGTGAGCAGAGAGAGCGCGAGGTGCGGGCGTTCCGGATGAACGCCACATTTTACAAGGCGCTCGTGGGCATGGTGAAGCAGACGCTTGCTTCACTGGCGGTGGTTTGACAGCATGCAATCTTGTGGGTGATTGGCGGAGTGCGCATTGTGGGTTGGCGCGCGGTCCAGGTGGTTTCGCTGTGGAATGGGTTATGATAGTGTGCTATTTTCTCTCTTTTTTTGTTGTGTCCTTTTTTCTAATTTTTATTTTAGCTTCTGGATGGAACTTGCCGAAGGTCCACGCAGTGGTCCGCCTCATTGATGGCATCCTTATGCGGGGAATGCTGCATGAGTGCTCCACCAACGCGTGGGAACACAGTCACAAGGTGACTGTTAATATCCCAGTGAGGGGGGGGAATTGGAAGGACTTTACTCGGCGGATAGTGGAGGAAGAGGTGCAGAGGGAGTTGGTGCATGCGGTGGGAGACAGTACACGACTGCACTACATGAGGTAGGCACACTATCGTCGTATAAACATATGTACGCAGGGCAGACACATGCCGTTCCACTGTCTAGACAGTGCAATATGTCAAACTGTGATTGTATGACTTCACCGCAGGTGATGCTTATGCGTGAATCGTGTGGGATGCTGGCGCTGCATTTGCAAGAGCATGTGCTAACGCGCCAATCTCGGGTGGCGGACCCTTCACACCCAGAGGATGGCACCCTCGCGCCATATCGCGCAACACTTGGAAGCGACATGAACGCATTGACATCATGCGCCACAGAGGCTGGCGTTTCTCTGGAGCAATTCTAGGTGAGTGTTGTGGCCATGCTATGTGCATGTGTGATGAGTGAGAGATGTTGTTGTTGTGGTCATCATGTTCATACTGGTTGACTTTTACGCGACAGGTCCAAACAGCCGTGGCGATCCCACGAATGCATGGAGGCGAATTGGTGGCGAAGGGGACCTTTGTGAAGGCAAGTCCTACTAAGAACGAGTTCTCAAATATGGCGGTGAAGCCACCAAAGGGACAGGAATGGTATGCTAGGTGCTTGTACATTTTTCGGGCAAAGCGAACTTACGGGACAATAGGAAGGCTTGCGTACGTGAAGTACCATATCGCCCCGGATAAAAGCGCAGGCCTATTAAAAGCGCATGCGCTTCTATCTGGAGCAATGCGCTTATGGCCGATCCTCAATTATAAGCGCACCCCCTAAAAAAACTATTATAAGTGCATGTTAAATTCCACAATAAAAATGTGTGCAAATACTATAACGGTTTTCCCTTTAGCAGGTGGATGTGTTGCAAATTCGGTTCTCCTCACATTCGAACCCTGCACAGAATTCGAGTCCAGTCAGCATGAGCTGTCAGGGGCACCTTGTCAGTCATATCGACTGTATCTGCCAGCCGCGCGAGAATTTCACTCACGACCCCCTGTAACTTCGACTCGATTGAAAAAGCCAGCACGAGATCTACAGTTTGGTGTTCAAATATTATAAATCTATACTTGTCATTTTATAAGCGCATGCGCTTATACAAACGACTCAATTAGAAGCGCACCCCCCCAAAAAACACTGATTTATTATAAGCGCACCTGCGCTTTTATCCGGGGTAATACGGTACTATGAGGAGGCAGAGGTGTGTGGGCTTACCACATGCACTCAGTTAACGCCTGGGCGAGCGGAGACGAAGTACACGGTGGTGGAGATAGAGTGCATTTAAAGGGTGGTGCACATTTGCAAGTCGTTTGTGAATGCCCGTGTGCTCCTTCTGAACAAGTATCTGCTCTACGAGTGAACACATATGGATGGTGCTTATTGTGTCACGTTTCATGGCATGTCTGTGTTGGAAAACCTTATTATGGTGCTACCTTATAACAAGTTACCATGGTCGGAATTAGTACGGCGGTATTTTGATGCGACAACGTCTGGCGTATCAGATTCTAAATGCGCGGAATTGGAACCGCGGCAAGCGAAATGTGGTCGAATCGCACATTTAGCACTGCGAATTTGTGAATGTATCACTAGATGTGACTCTGCAGTGACGTTTTTGTATACCGAACATTGTCACACAAAAGTTACGCAGTGTGTTGTGACATTTTCGAATCTAATCGAAACTTTCTGTGTATTTTTTGGGAGGAAAACCCACGGAAGGCCAAATTTGCCCTCTGTCCAATTTCGCGATGGTGCGGGCAGCGTGAGGCAGCGCGGGCAGCGCGGGGCAGCATGGAACGAAACCATTTAGGGCGACACAGAGCGTATCGGGGCGACACGAGGCGACACGAGGCTAGGACCTAGGAGTGACCTAGCTGATACCATCTCAGAATCTAAGTAACTTAGAAGCTATCTTAGGTATGAGGGAAAATTATGCTTTGGTTTGGGGTGAAGGGGGAGTAATACAAGAAGACTATCGAGAGAGTTTGTGTACCCCCCAGAGTGCAACTCACTACAGCCTATCTGAACTATATGGCATCGTTTGACGATAAAACTGGGGGTGAAGATCAGAGTGCCTAGAATTGAAACGTCAGCCCTGGTTGGTACATAAAACCCAGTTGGAAAATCAGTGCTGCCACGATAAAAAAACACTTTTGAATCAGCCTAGGGGCCCAAAAATTTTCTCAAAATCAGCGTTCGAAGGCCAAATCAGGGTAAAATTCCTGACTTCTGGGACCCCTCACCCCCAGTTTCGAGGAGATGACATCGGTAAACTCCCAGACAACTTAACAGGCAAATATGGTAGGGATAGCAAGCTGAATGGTTGAGAAATTCATGAAGGCATAGGAAAACGATTTACATAGTTCAGGCTCAGATAAGGTCGATGTTCTCATGACAGAGTAAGTTGTTTGCACTCAATGGCATTCAATTCATAGTTGCCCCTCAATCGAATTCCCATTCGATGAAAAGCACGGTCTAATTCGAATCTAGACACTACCGTAATCATCGATGATGATTAGTCGTCGATATGCACGCGCACTGCCACCACCACATGATAGGACCAGCACCACGCCGATAACAATGCCCGCGATGGCTTCACCCGACAGCCCCGAGCTGGACGAAGTGCTGTTGGCCGTGGCATTGCCACCGAAGAGACCACTGTGGTTGGCACTGGCGGATGGTGCTGCGTTGGATGGTGGCGTAAAGGATGACGGGGCTGCACACGATCAAGACAAGCAGGAAGGAGAAGATTTGGCCTGGACTTGACGTGCATTCAAAAACTATTCAGGAGATGCACGACAGGTGGTACCCACCATCACCAGCAGGTGTGTCAGATGGTGCTGCATCAGATGGCGGCACGTCGGATGGTGGGGCTGCACACAACCAAGACAAGTGCCAAGGAGGAGATTTTCTCTGGGCTTGACGGAACCTACTCAGAAACATGTAATGGCTGCTACTTAACATGGTCGCCAGGGCCAGCAGGGATGCAACAGGAGGTACCCAAACCACCAGGGACGGTGCAGGAGGAGCAGAAGGCGGCACATGCAATGCAAAACTGGCTGTCCTGGACCTGCTCCACCACACACTTAGAGCCCTTGGGAGGGCATGCTATGGCGGAGTCGAAGTTCCTGCCGTGAAAGGACAGGGCGGGGGCAGAGAGATGACAGGGCGGGCAGCAAGAGGACAGGTCGGGGGCAGCAGGAGGACAGGGCGGGGGCAGCAAGAGGACAGGGCGGGGGCAGAGAGAGGACAGGGCGGGGGCAGAGAGAGGACAGGGCGGGGGCAGAGAGAGGACAGGGCGGGGGCAGAGAGAGGACAGGAGAATTAGATGGAAAGCAATCAGATTACAGTGCCATTAGAAGGGGGAGATGGGAGGCTTCCCTGCTCATCCACAGAGGCAGCGCCATTGAGGAGTGTGCAAAGGGTGGTAAAATAGCCAGTTGTTTTTTCTCAAACAGAAATTGCGCTTGGAAGTTAATGACTGTGAGAATGGTGATTAATGATGGCTGATGGTGATTGTGATCCATCAGTTACTTAAGAGTGCTTTGAAAGAGGTAGGTAACACCATCAGTTCTTTTATGCATACATGGATAACCACTTTCTCTAAGTAAATATCATCTTCTGGCCTCTAAAATAAAGTGGTCAAGTTCGTTCATATTTCACTCAGAATCTCAATACAAACATTGCACATGATTATAGAGTCACTGTAGACTACTATCTTGCTCTTCTCTTGCATGTGGCCACCATCTTACAAGGTGGTGAGAGGTGGTGCACCAAGAGTGGGTGGAAGTGTGCCGGTCAGATTGTTGCCCTTAAGCTCCCTGTGGGAAGTGGACAAGTGAGTCAGGAGGAGATGAGGGCAAGTAGGACAACGTCGATCGGTGCGATCGTGGGCATGAGAGCACCGGATTAGGGCTGAGAGTCTCAACAATCCAGGGAAAGGTGGGGAAATTGGGACAAGTAAATCAAGGGGTGGAACGAGCAAAACTCGCAGCAGCGAGGAGAGCAGCACTCACAGCAGCGAGGGAAGCAGCACTCACAGCAGCGAGGAGAGCAGCACTCACAGCAGCGAGGAGAGCAGCACTCACAGCAGCGAGGAGAGCAGCACTCACAGCAGCGAGGAGAGCAGCACTCACAGCAGCGAGGAGAGCAGCACTCACAGCAGCGAGGAGAGCAGCACTCACAGCAGCGAGGAGAGCAGCACTCACAGCAGCGAGGAGAGCAGCACTCACAGCAGCGAGGAGAGCAGCACTCACAGCAGCGAGGAGAGCAGCACTCACAGCAGCGAGGAGAGCAGCACTCACAGAAGCGAGGAGAGCAGCACTCACAGCAGCGAGGAGAGCAGCACTCACAGCAGCGAGGAGAGCAGCACTCACAGCAGCGAGGAGAGCAGCACTCACAGCAGCGAGGAGAGCAGCACTCAAAGCAGCGAGGAGAGCAGCACTCACAGCAGCGAGGAGAGCAGCACTCACAGCAGCGAGGAGAGCAGCACTCAGCAGCGAGGAGAGCAGCACTCACAGCAGCGAGGAGAGCAGCACTCACAGCAGCGAGGAGAGCAGCACTCACAGCAGCGAGGAGAGCAGCACTCACAGCAGCGAGGAGAGCAGCGCTCACAGCAGCGAGGAGAGCAGCACTCACAGCAGCGAGGAGAGCAGCACTCACAGCAGCGAGGAGAGCAGCACTCACGGCAGCGAGGAGAGCAGCACTCACGGCAGCGAGGAGAGCAGCACTCACGGCAGCGAGGAGAGCAGCACTCACAGCAGCGAGGAGAGCAGCACTCACAGCAGCGAGGAGAGCAGCACTCACAGCAGCGAGCAGAGCAGCACTCATAGCAGCGAGGAGAGCAGCACTCACAGCAGCGAGGAGAGCAGCACTCAGCAGCGAGGAGAGCAGCACTCACAGCAGCGAGGAGAGCAGCACTCACAGCAGCGAGGAGAGCAGCACTCACAGCAGCGAGGAGAGCAGCACTCACAGCAGCGAGGAGAGCAGCGCTCACAGCAGCGAGGAGAGCAGCACTCACAGCAGCGAGGAGAGCAGCGCTCACAGCAGCGAGCAGAGCAGCACTCACAGCAGCGAGGAGAGCAGCACTCACAGCAGCGAGGAGAGCAGCACTCACAGCAGCGAGGAGAGCAGCACTCACAGCAGCGAGGAGAGCAGCACTCACGGCAGCGAGCAGAGCAGCACTCACAGCAGCGAGGAGAGCAGCACTCACAGCAGCGAGCAGAGCAGCACTCACAGCAGCGAGGAGAGCAGCACTCACAGCAGCGAGGAGAGCAGCACTCACAGCAGCGAGGAGACCAGCACTCACAGCAGCGAGGAGAGCAGCACTCACAGCAGCGAGGAGAGCAGCACTCACAGCTGCGAGGAGAGCAGCACTCACAGCTGCGAGGAGAGCAGCACTCACAGAAGCGAGGAGAGCAGCACTCACAGAAGCGAGGAGAGCAGCACTCACAGCAGCGAGGAGAGCAGCACTCACAGCAGCGAGGAGAGTAGCATTCACAGGAACGAGGAGAGCAGCACTCACAGCAGCGAGGAGAGCAGCACTCACAGCAGCGAGGAGAGCAGCACTCACAGCAGCGAGGAGAGCAGCACTCACAGCAGCGAGGAGAGCAGCACTCACGGCAGCGAGGAGAGCAGCACTCACGGCAGCGAGGAGAGCAGCACTCACGGCAGCGAGGAGAGCAGCACTCACAGCAGCGAGGAGAGCAGCACTCACAGCAGCGAGGAGAGCAGCACTCACAGCAGCGAGCAGAGCAGCACTCATAGCAGCGAGGAGAGCAGCACTCACAGCAGCGAGGAGAGCAGCACTCAGCAGCGAGGAGAGCAGCACTCACAGCAGCGAGGAGAGCAGCACTCACAGCAGCGAGGAGAGCAGCACTCACAGCAGCGAGGAGAGCAGCACTCACAGCAGCGAGGAGAGCAGCGCTCACAGCAGCGAGGAGAGCAGCACTCACAGCAGCGAGGAGAGCAGCGCTCACAGCAGCGAGCAGAGCAGCACTCACAGCAGCGAGGAGAGCAGCACTCACAGCAGCGAGGAGAGCAGCACTCACAGCAGCGAGGAGAGCAGCACTCACAGCAGCGAGGAGAGCAGCACTCACGGCAGCGAGCAGAGCAGCACTCACAGCAGCGAGGAGAGCAGCACTCAGAGCAGCGAGCAGAGCAGCACTCACAGCAGCGAGGAGAGCAGCACTCACAGCAGCGAGGAGAGCAGCACTCACAGCAGCGAGGAGAGCAGCACTCACAGCAGCGAGGAGAGCAGCACTCACAGCAGCGAGGAGAGCAGCACTCACAGCTGCGAGGAGAGCAGCACTCACAGCAGCGAGGAGAGCAGCACTCACAGAAGCGAGGAGAGCAGCACTCACAGAAGCGAGGAGAGCAGCACTCACAGCAGCGAGGAGAGCAGCACTCACAGGAACGAGGAGAGCAGCACTCACAGCTGCGAGGAGAGCAGCACTCACAGCAGCGAGGAGAGCAGCACTCACAGCAGCGAGGAGAGCAGCACTCACAGCAGCGAGGAGAGCAGCACTCACAGCAGCGAGGAGAGCAGCACTCACAGCAGCGAGGAGAGCAGCACTCACAGCAGCGAGGAGAGCAGCACTCACAGCAGCGAGGAGAGCAGCACTCACAGCTGCGAGGAGAGCAGCACTCACAGCAGCGAGGAGAGCAGCACTCACAGCAGCGAGGAGAGCAGCACTCACAGCAGCGAGGAGAGCAGCACTCACAGCAGCGAGGAGAGCAGCACTCACAGCAGCGAGGAGAGCAGCACTCACAGCTGCGAGGAGAGCAGCACTCACAGCTGCGAGGAGAGCAGCACTCACAGCAGCGAGGAGAGCAGCACTCACAGCAGCGAGGAGAGCAGCACTCACAGCAGCGAGGAGAGCAGCACTCACAGCTGCGAGGAGAGCAGTACTCACAGCAGCGAGGAGAGCAGCACTCACAGCAGCGAGGAGAGCAGCACTCACGGCTGCGAGGAGAGCAGCACTCACAGCTGCGAGGAGAGCAGCACTCACAGTAGCGAGGAGAGCAGCACTCACAGCAGCGAGGAGAGCAGCACTCACAGCAGCGAGCAGAGCAGCACTCACAGCAGCGAGGAGAGCAGCACTCACAGCTGCGAGGAGAGCAGCACTCACAGCAGCGAGGAGAGCAGCACTCACAGCAGCGAGGAGAGCAGCACTCACAGCAGCGAGGAGAGCAGCACTCACAGCAGCGAGGAGAGCAGCACTCACAGCTGCGAGGAGAGCAGCACTCACAGCTGCGAGGAGAGCAGCACTCACAGCAGCGAGGAGAGCAGCACTCACAGCTGCGAGGAGAGCAGCACTCACAGCTGCGAGGAGAGCAGCACTCACAGCTGCGAGGAGAGCAGCACTCACAGCAGCGAGGAGAGCAGCACTCACAGCAGCGAGGAGAGCAGCAATCACAGCTGTGAGGAGAGCAGCACTCACGGCATCGAGGAGAGCAGCACTCACAGCAGCGAGGAGAGCAGCACTCACAGCTGCGAGGAGAGCAGCACTCACAGCAGCGAGGAGAGCGGCACTCACAGCAGCGAGGAGAGCAGCACTCACAGCAGCGAGGAGAGCAGCACTCACAGCTGCGAGGAGAGCAGCACTCACAGCAGCGAGGAGAGCAGCACTCACAGCAGCGAGGAGAGCAGCACTCACAGCAGCGAGGAGAGCAGCACTCACAGCAGCGAGGAGAGCAGCACTCACAGGGTCTGAAGGTCGCGCAGCCAGCCCAGGCCTGATGGAATGGAGCCGCCAACCCTTGTGTAGTCGAGGCTCCTGGGGAAGCATGGTGAGGTTAAGAGGGGTGGACAAGGTGGGTGTAAGAGGGTGGGCAGGGTGGGGGAAAGAGGGTGGGCAGGGTGGGGGAAAGAAGGGCAAGGTTGGGGGAGAGGAAGGGAAAGTTGGGGAGAGAGGGTGGGCAATTTTTGTGGATGAGGGTGGTCAAGTTGGGGAGAGACGATGGCCAAGGTGGGGAGGGAGGACGTGGTGGGGCCTTGGAGCTGCGGGTCGTGAAGTGGCTGGAAAGGTGCGGGTTGGCGGCGGGATCTACAAAGAGGCGACCAGGATGGAATGGAGCCGCCAACCCTTGTGTAGTCGAGGCTCCTGGGGGAGCACGGTGAGGTTAAGAGGGTGGGCAGGGTGCAGGGAAGAGGGTGGGCGGGGTGGGGGGAAAGAAGGGCAAGGTTGGGGGAGAGGATGGGCAAAGTCGGGGGAGAGGGTGGGCAAGGTGGGGAGAGACGATGGGCAAGGTGGGGAGGGACGATGGGCAAGGTGGGGAGGGAGGACGTAGTGGGGGCTTGTAGGTGCGGGTCGTGAAGTGGCTGGAAGGGTGCGGGTTTGAGGCACGATTTACAAAGAGGTGACCTGGATGGGGTGCCCGTGGAATGTAGTTCTTTGGGGGACGGCAGATGGTGCATGCATGATGGGTTGTTTGTGTGAATGTACAGACGGTTGGTGGGTGAGGAAATTCTAGTCACTGAAGGGGTGGGGTGAGGAAATTCTAGTCACTGAGGGGGTGGGGTGATTTTAGTCACTGAAGGGGTGGGGTGAGGTGATTCTAGTCACTGAAGGGGTGGGGTGGGGTGAGGATTTGTCTTGAGTGTGTTGGGGCTTACAACTGGATGAGGTTGGTGAGGGCAGTGATGGTGCTGGGAATGGTGCTGCCTGTGAAGTTGTTGCCCGTAAGAGTGCTGCAGGGGACAGAGCGGAATCAAGGCATTCGGATATGGCGATACAATAAGGCTCTGAGACTGGAATACGCCAGATGCGCCATATCTCTGACATCGACTTCACTCACTACAAGCACTACACAATACGACGCAGGGTCCTCACACACGCGCACCCTCCTTCCATCACACGCGCACCCTCCTTCCATCACACACGCAGAGCTCCTCCCCCTCCCATCACTCACAGGTACTGTAGGCTGGCGATGCGTTCAATGCTGTCTGTAAGCGGGCCGATGTTGTTGTTGGTGAGATCGCTGTGGGAGGCATGTCAAGGGGAGGCACGGGCGAAGAGAGAGGCACAGGAGGAGAGAGGCACGGGAGGAGAGAGGCACTGGAGGAGAGAAAAATGAGAGGAGATAAAAAGGGAGGAGAAAAAATGGGAGGAGAGAAAATGGGAGGAGAGGCAACGGGGCAAGAGCATGCGGAATGGTTGCGGCGTGAGGGGGATATGTAGGTGTGAGGGGGATATGTAGGTGTGAGGGGGGGAATATGTAGGTGTGAGGGTATACAGCGAGGCAAGGGAGGGCATACAGCGAGGCAAGGGAGGGCATACAGCGAGGCAAGGGAGGGCATACAGCGAGGCAAGGGAGGGCATACAGCGAGGCAAGGGAGGGCATACAGCGAGGCAAGGGAGGGCATACAGCGAGGCAAGGGAGGGCATACAGCGAGGCAAGGGAGGGCATACAGCGAGGCAAGGGAGGGCATACAGCGAGGCAAGGGAGGGCATACAGCGAGGCAAGGGAGGGCATACAGCTAGGCAAGGGAGGGCAAACAGCGAGGCAAGGGAGGGCATACAGCGAGGCAAGGGAGGGCATACAGCGAGGCAAGGGAGGGCATACAGCGAGGCAAGGGAGGGCATACAACGAGGCAAGGGAGGGCATACAGCGAGGCAAGGGAGGGCATACAGCGAGGCAAGGGAGGGCATACAGCGAGGCAAGGGAGGGCATACAGCGAGGCAAGGGAGGGCATACAGCGAGGCAAGGTTGGTGAGTTTGGAGAATGAGTCGGGGATGGGCCCTGAGAGAGGAGCACCACTGGTGTCGCCCTCACTCACACTGATTTTCCTGCACGCACATAGGGAGAAGGATTGAAGAGAAGGGAGAGCGGTAACAGGGGGGTTGGCAAGAGAAAGGAATCTTGAGGCCTTGCCAAACCTCAAGCTAATGTTCCTGCCAGTGGTGAGAGGGGGAGATAGAGAGAATGGTAGAAAGGGGAATGACTAGTGGAGCGGAGATGTTTTCTCACTGGGCTGGGGCTGTTGCCAAGGATTTCTGCTAATTACTGAAGGTGCTAAGGGACGCTATCACGAGGCCACTGACAATCATCCTAGTTGATCACCCTAGAGGATAGGGACCACGCATGGGCGAGGAGGCTGAGGCGTGCAGATGTTGCATTGCAAGCACACAGAGTATGCCGGCATGCAGCTTTTGAGTGGGGTGTGCAGCGGGCAGAGGCTCACAGGTTTTGCAGGTTGACCAAGTTGCCCATGCTGGCTGGCAGGGTGCCTCCAACGCTGCTGGACCCCAGGTCCCTGTCCCGCACGCGTGTGCACCCCCCCCCTCCCCCCCCCCCCTCACACACACACACACACACACACACACATACACACACAGATATGAGCGTCCTGCCACGCACAGAGCAGTGCAACCCAGACAACCTTTCTCAGGAAGCTCCTACCTTTCCAATGTGTGCCCATTCTTTCCATTTCTCTCACATCCCATCCCTCACAGCAGGGAGAGTGGCTCACAGCAGCAGGAAGAGTCGCTCACAGGGAGGAGAATCGCTGAGAGGAGGGTGAGAGGCTCACAGGGAGGTGAGTCTTGTGAGGTTGCCGATGGCGTCTGGGATGGTCTGAAAGTGCGTGTACGCCGACAGGCTGGTGCGGGCCAAGGAAAGGGTTCGAGGAACGGTTTAGAAAAGAGGTGGTATTGTGGGATGGATGTGGGGCAGGTAAAAAGGGAACGGGGGGAACAAGAGTAAGAGAGGACGGAGGATTGGAGAGGGAGGGAGGGGAAGGAGATGATGGTGCAATATTTAGGCTGAGACAGCTGCAAGAGCATGCAGTTCAGAAACATGCTGCAAGGTGATCACAATCACCACCAGCACGCGCAGCAGCAGCAGCAGCAGCAGCAGACGGCCACGGCCCGATGGACCGGGGCGGGGCGTACGTGATGGAGAGAATGAATCCTTCCCCGTCGCACTCGCGGGTGACGTCGGAGCTCCACATCTCACTGCCGCAGTCCTCGTCCATGACGATGTCAATCCCCCACGCCTTCGATAACGCCCTCAGAGGCGGGACTGTTGAGACGGGCGGATCGAGAATCCAGAGTGGGGAGCAAGTAAGTGCAAAGAGCTGGTGCCAACCATTGGTGATGCGTATGCTGCACAGGTGTGCCGCACAGGTGTTCCTTGGGAGGGGGGGGGGAGAGAGTGGTGCATCAATGCCGCACGCCACTGACAAGGCCGTGGGACGTGGGACTGAGATCCGAGAGGTGGGACAGCGAGGGGAGAGGGGAGAGAGGAGAGAGGAGATAGAGTGGTGTGCAGGAAGAAGATTGAGATGTGAGATAGAATAAGGTGAGATCCCCCCCCCCAGCAGCTTCGTGAGTGGTACACTGCTCGTCACCGGGGTGGGGGTACTGGCCCCTGTACCTACGTTCTCCGTACCGGCGACCGAGTGGGTGAGCAGTGTGGGGGAGCGCACTCCACCCAGCGCTGCTTCGGCCGTCTGACGGACGCGTGGCGTCACCAGTTCCCCGACGCTACTGAGATCCCTCGCTGGGGCGAGCTGTCTAGGGCGGGTGTTGCGATCTTTGATCTTTGATCTTTGATCTTTGATCTTTGATCTTTGATCTTGCTGCCATGTATGCTGTGACTATTAGTGATGAGGGTGACTGTTACCGGTGTTTTCCGCCTGACCCAGGCATAGAGGCTGCTGCGCTAGGTGCTTGTGAGGCTGCTGCTCTAGGTGCCAGTGCGTCTGCCGCCCCAGGTGCCGGTGAGTCTGCGCTCTCAGGTACTGCGTCGTCTCCGGACACCCACACCTTCACCCTTGACTCGGGTGCTTCCCGCTCCTTCTTTCGAGACTGCACCACTCTCACGCCACTCAGTCGGCCCGTTGCAGTCTCCCTGGCAGACCCCTCTGGGGGTCCTGTCCTTGCCCACTACTCCACTGTCCTACCGTGTCCAGCGGTCCCGTCTGGCTCCCTGTCGGGTCTTTACCTCCCCTCGTTCTCTACGAACTTGGTGGCGGGTGCTGACCTACAGGATGGGGGGGTTGACCAGTTCACCCCTGCTCGTCAGCGGGTGACTCACTGCACGTGTGCAGACACGGGCCGACACTTGGCCACGTTTACCCACTGACTACTGACACTGAGTCTGCTCCACACTGAGCCTGTACACACTGACTACTGAGTCTCCTCCAGTCACTGAGTCTGCTCAGGTAGCAGCGTCGGGTCAGGTGTTTGCTGCGGCGTCCAGGTCTGGTCCTGAGTCTGCCCCCTGCTCGTGTCGTCTCCTGTCCCACCGGACTCTCCTCTGGCACCACCGCCTTGGTCACCCCTCCCTGCCTCGTCTTCGAGGCATGGCTTCCCGTCTTCTTGTCTCTGGCCTCCCCCGGTCCCTCCCTCCCCTTCCTCCGGGGCCTGCCCCCACCTGCGTTCCCTGCGTCGAGGGGCGGCAGCGCGCTGCCCCTCACTCCTCCGAGTTTCCTCCGACAGAGGCTCCGCTGCAGACGCTTCACATGGACGTGTGGGGCCCAGCCCGCGTCCGTGGACAGGGTCACGAGCGTTACTTCCTGTTGGTGGTTGACGACTACTCGCGTTACACCGCAGTCTTCCCCTTGCGCAGCAAGGGTGACGTCACTGAGGTGTTGATCGCCTGGATCCGCGCAGCTCGTCTCCAGCTCCGGGAGAGTTTCGGCTCTGACTTTCCTGTTCTGCGTCTGCACTCCGACAGAGGCGGAGAGTTCTCCTCTGACCTTCTGCGGGCCTTCTGTCGTGCACGAGGCATCCGCCAGACCTTCACGCTTCCGGACTCTCCACAGCAAAATGGGATTGCTGA